GAATGCTTAGCTAGCAGAATTCTATCAGTTAATCCTTAATTAGTTATTGCTTTCATTACAAGAATTTTCATGTCCTTGGAAAATAGTAAATTTTGCTGCTTTACAAACAGGATGTATTCACTGCAAGTCTAGTGAGTGATGAGAGATTCACAACAAAAAATTCACAGTTGCGTTTTGAACAATTAAGTCTTTTCCCTATTAAATGCGTGCTAAATTCTTCACCTGCCTTTAACTTATGATTTAAGAGTATCATAGCAATTTTTTTCTTCTACTGTTTTACATCGCTTTTGAAATGTTATTTTAACTATAGTGAATCCTTTCTAAGATGACCTTCCTCACGGTTCCAGATGATTCTGGTCTTCTGCGAAAGTAGTCGTTTTAGAGATGGAATATTCGGGATGTTTGTGCTGTCATAAATATTGGTCGTATTAAGGAGGTTGTCGTCAGGCAATAATAAAAGCGTGGGAACCCAAATAATGAAATTATAATAACGAATTTATTATCAAATGTATAAGCCAATATCTTCCAAATTTATTAAGGGCTATTCGTGCTTTTACTATAGATGAATTTTGTAAAGATAATTATTAAATCTCTTGTTCTCATGAAATTATATGGTAAGTTATTTTTCTCTTTTTAGGTCATTAATTATTTTATGAGTTTTAAATACTTATAATGCTTAAATACATTTTATAAAAATTTTGTAATTATTTTTTAAATTTTACTTTATATTCTCGAAGAAGCGATTAGTCGGAAAAAGTATTTTGAAATGTTGGAAAACCGTCAAATAACGTTTCATAGCCAAATATTATAATCGTTACATTTTTATTTTTTTATCTGCAACATTTTAATAGCTAATATTTTACCAATTCATTTTTTAATAAGAAGATGCACACATGTATTTTTCAAAAATATTGAGAGTTCAATTTGGGAAATCTATTGTATTACATTGGTGACATTCAATAACAGTATTCATTTCTATCGTAAGAATTTTTAATCATTTTCAGAAATAATCATCTGCGGGAGGTGCTTGTCAGGAAAGGTTTCATTACGAGAAGCAGTGTTGCCAGATATGCGATGTTTTCCAAAGTTTGTTGTTTTTGTTAAAAACTGTTCTACTAAAATTTTTCTGCGCAATTTTACGAGCGAATTTTTTGATATTTTGTCAATTTTTTATGCAGCTTTTTATTATTTTACAAAAATTCAACATACATCAAAATGAATTTATTTTAAAATTAATTTAGTGTAAAAGAGTAACAATTTAGTTAGGCATCAATAAAAGTCATAAATTAGCAATTCAGCGGACACTCATTTATCAGCATTCATCAGTAATCAAGTTGACGAATAATCTGTCTGTAATATAAATTTAAAAGTATAAATAAAGACTGAATCCTGTTTGCAGTATTGCAATGGGAAACAATTATTACATTTTTAAGAATGAAATACTCTTATTAATTTTGATATTTTTAATTCACCAGGGATTTTATGAAATACAGACTTTTCATATTCCCATTGTTGGAGCTTCTGTAGAAATAATTTTACATATATGTATCAAGAAAGCTGATTTCTCCTCATTGAGGTCAAGAAAAAATACTTTATGTTTAGATTATTTTTGTTTCTGATAATTTTGTTAAAACTTATAATATGTATACACTCCGGCGCTCCTCCTACTTATGCGCCTAACTTGCTCCACCCTTGCTAACAGAATCCGGGAATACTGAAATTTTAATGGCATTAGAATCATCTGAATTCACGTAACCTATGGTGTAAAGTCTTTTCTCTTATAAAACGTATTTTATAAACGAGTGACTTTACCACCGCTCCGCCGCTGGTTGGCCTTTCATTAACAGGGAAGGGAATAATTGCTTTACCTAATAGGGAAGGGAATAGAGAATACTTTTAATTAACAGAGAATTATACTAGGAACAAATTATCTTTATTTTCGAGCAGTTTCGTCTTGAGAAAACGTTAATTTGATTACGTAAATTAAATCAGTAAAACAAAAAGAACACATTTGCTTTACGGTAATGGTTTATGATAGTAATTTTTCTATCCTTCCACAACAAATAAACTCTTAAACTAAACTTCCGCAACATATAAACGCACTTTTATCTACTGGGTAAGTAGTGAACACTTAGGAGAATAGTATTGCTATAATCCCCCGATTTTGGATTGGCATTTTTAATTGGCGAAAATATTGGTAGTTTAAATATATAACAACTCTGTTCGCTGCCCAGCTGGTATAGTGGTTAGCGTCGCTGACTGCTGTGCCGAAGGACCCGGGTTCGAACCCAGGAGAAGGCATGGATGTTTATAAATGTATAGTGTCGGAGCGGCATGGCGGCACTCTAAATATGCGGTGAGCCGAAAGTCCTCTCGTGTGGTTTGGTGGAAGGGGAGAGGGGTGGGAGACCATCGGACCCCTCCCATCCAGGATTAACTCCATCAAATCCCTTAATTTTGATGGAGTCAAAATTGGGGGCGGAACTGAGCAAAATCGCACTGTCACCTGAATGGTGCTCCAGACTGTTGCCAACGGAAGGCCTAACCTAGCGCTCCTTGCCACGAGGATTTTCGTCGGCTTGGGCTGACTCCGACAAGTGAGCATAAGTAACACCAACACGCAGTTCTGTTCAGTATAAGGAACTGTAAAATCTGGATGTTCAGCTCATTCGGAACGTACTCGCTGCGCTGGGCAAACCGTTTCGGTAGTCTGTTTCTCAAACTTTTTACATGAAGATTAAAACAAACTGCGTTACTTACACTCGATATGACCGATACTCGATATGATTCTTACAAAGGAAGTAATGGTGATTAAAAAGTCATTATTCAGTAATCATGTAAGTAAAACAAACATGAATTTGAAATCGACTGTCTGGTTGGCATGCAATTTACTCCCGAAGAGCTGAATAGAATTCGCAATAGTGGAAACCTCAGAATTTGCATTATTATTTTAATCACCAGCAGACCGTAAATAACTATTTTCAATGTTGTGTCTTTACACACGATTGACTTTAAGGTTGCTACTTTCGCACGTAACGAGGTGCTTCATTACTTTGTGAAACCTCTGTTGTTTGCATTTCACTTGGGAATAACTGTTCTTAGTTTTAGCAGAGTAACTAGATAGTTTGCTTCCTGAATGTAATTGTTTAATAATTATTAGTTTATATTATGAGGTTCCAATTTAAAATCTATATTTCTCACATTTATATTTTGTCTTGGAAAGAGCTAAATCATGCGTAACGCCAGGCAGGCTTCCTCTTTACTGTGATAATTTCATGTGCATGTTTTTTTTGTTACCTTTTATAAGTGTGTGAGAGAGTAAACTAAAAAATTTTTACGGGGTTATTCGCGGATACGTGAAACATTTAAAAAAATTATATAAAAAATGCCGTGAAAGATATACAAAATGTATTATATTGAAATAGAGGTAAAATCATTCAAGTATTTTTAAATATATTCCACAAACGTTTGTAAGGGTTATCCTAAGTTTCTAACAGCTAATTTAAATTAAAGCTACTTTCCTGTCCTTCCTAATTTCAGCTTACAATTTCAAATCAGAATGCGTTTTTAGAATCGCGTTTAATGCAAATAAGAATAGTATTTAAATCTAAGTTCTACTGATTTCGAGAGAGAGGCTCGGAGTTTCTGACTAGCGCAGGTTCGCCTTTTGGCTACGATTCTCTAAGCGTTTATTACGCTCGGCCGTACTGCAGGCCTTTGATAGCTTCGCTAGCTTATTGGATATTTAACGGCCAACTACTTAGAATTTTGATAGCTTCGGCTATATCTCTTTAGTTGCATTAGTTAAGTCTTATTTCTTATTATTTTAAGCTCAAGCCCAAGTGGAGGCTTTGCTGTACGCCCTGAGGCAGGGACCATCTAATAAATTCATACTTTGAGCAATAAAGGGTATTTAACCCTTCTCGAGTTTACGTCTCAGTTCTTGAACTAAATTATTCGCTTAGCTGTTCGTTAGGTCCCTGCACATTTAGTTATTAGATAAACGGGTGGAACCTCAAACGTTCATTGTGTTCCCTTCTCTGGTACGGCAGACATCTATGCGTCATCGGAAGTATTTACTTGGATATACTGGGAAAACTGGTTGATTTTCCAGTTGAATTAAAATAGTAATATTTACCTCTTTCCGATGAAAAAATAACTATAGCAGAGATCAAGAGAAAATCTGCGAAATTATGTCATTCAAAATTTGCCATTTAAAGCTGGTATCACATCTACGGACATTAAACGCAACAAAAAATTTTAAACGCTTCTTCTTAAAACTTTGTTTGCATGACATCCTTCTAGGCGCAATATTTTACGAAGACAGCAGAAAAGTTCTTTTCGATTTTCGAAGGAAGGACCACGGAAATTTACTATGTAATTATAACAACATAAAACTCCTGTAAGAAAGGATTTTCGGAAAACTTTTATTCGACGAGGGCTTAAAGAAAAACTTGTTCGGTCTCCTAACCTCTTTAGGTGAATGGGATGCAGAGGATAAGGGCATGAAAAATCAACACGTGTCACACTTGTCGGGATCTTATGTTATTCTCTCTGTTAATTTTCAGAATCTTCGCGACCATAAGCGATTCTGTGATTGACAGCTTGCCATCAGTTTCTCAGTTTATTCGATATGAATGTTATGGAATTGTAAATAACCCTATTAATAATTATGTGATTTTATATTATGTAATATTGCTTCGCTGAATTTGATGATCAACTGCTATTGCAAGATAGCGTAAGTATAATTAATTAAATAAATAACATAATATTTGTTTAAGATAATTTCTAAATTAATAATTATTTATCTAGCTATATTAATATTTTGTATTTGTTTAATAACGTGTTATTGATGTTCAACTTTCCTGTCCATTAACATGTGTTTAACAAATGAGTTAATCAACATAACTTTAAAATTGTGAGAAATATTACCTAATTTAATTATTATTTGAACAGCTGTATTTAGATTTTGTATATATATTTATTGTTTTGTATTACAGGCGTTTAAAATTCAGCGTCGGATTCATGTTCGTTCACTTTTGATCTACGAAAGATCCCCAAAATTGTACGATAATGTTGATATAAAATGCATGTTGATTTGATTTCTGGTCTTTAGCATCTAATGGTAAGTGTAATTTTACATACTCCTAAAAAAAAAAAAAAAACCCTCTTTGTCTATTTTTTTAGACACTGAATTCTTTCTAAGATAAATAAACTTTATATAAGCGGTGAAATAGATAAAATAGATTATCTGATTTTATATTGCTTTATTTTCATATTTCAAAATTACAGACATTTTGCAAGAGCATGGAATTAAAAAGTGAGATAGACATACAGCACTTTTTTATCCCAAAGGGAATTTCTAAGACGGCTATTATTCACGAATCATCATTTTGTGTAGAATCACTAAAAACGTTGAATAAATTTTCAAATTGTTGCCACGAAATATTATTGCCCTGTGTTATATTTAAAGAAATGAAATGATGAAGAATCTACCTTAATGTATGTATGTTTCTCACTTTATGAAAAACCAACGGTACCTAGAGCCACCAAATTTTAAATAACGTAGTCCTCCACCCGAATATGGGCACCTGGAAGCCCTGATTTTAAATTTCTAATTTGTTTTATTATCTTTTTCATATTTTATAAAACTTTAGGGAATGTGTGATTAAAAAACTCAATGATTTCAAAACGAACAGTGGCAACACTGTACGGAATAAAACATTTTTATCTCCATTTCGAGACTGTCTGTAGGAAATTCTAAAGATATGCTTTTATTAAATATATTTAATCCAAAGGGGCGTTAGCTCAAATTCTCTCGAAACGTGTATGTGTGAGTAAATGAACAAAACGCCTCTAATAGGGCATAATATAAAATCTGAAATCTTTCAAATTTTTTTATGCATTTATAACTGTACGATTACGCATGCAGATAATACGAAAATTTACTCCGTAGCTAATTAAAAAGAATGCTAGCCTGAATAATGATGGCTCTCAAAGACATATTATTGAGAGTAGTTTCAAACCTAAATTACTTTTTTATACTATTAATAGTTGGCTTTCCTAAAGAGTTTAAACTGAAATGTCAGAACTCTGCGTTTAATTAGATTACAAATACTATGCATTCCAACTAGAGCTTCGTGGACTCCTTCAGTTATTACCATCTTATTTAAAAACGCTCATTGTTTATTATTAAATACAAAATTACCCAGATATGCATTTATGAATAAACAATTAAATAATTTAAAAAATTAATTGTTGTGGTAAATGAGAAATAAAATGTTATCATTTTAACATGGGAATTAAAATTTTTTTCGGGCAAATACGGACGTGTTCTTATTTGATTAATTCTCATTTTAATTAGTTACTCGTAAACCAATAAGAATAAGAATTAGTCAAGTAAAAGAAATTTTGTTTTGAAGAATGGGCTGAATGACTGTATTAAGAAAAATAGTTTATTATTAATTGTGTGCTAAGAAAGTTTGAGTTAGAATTAATGAAGTAACTTTTAGATAACACACTGAGGAAAAGTTCGCGTAACTGAAAGTCAATTTGAAAATAAATGAGGTTTGTTAGAAAAGTAATTATTTCTTTTATCCTCTGTTCCTTTCATTTTAATCAACCGATTCTTCAAACAAAGCTGGGCTGTTTTGAAATACAAATTGACGAAAATATTTCGTATATAAAATTATTTTCTTTGTAGGTCTAATTAATAGAATTTTCCCCCCTGAAGTGAATTTCCTACAAGTGTATTTCATTTGAAAAATGTAAACTCTGTTATTTAAAACGAATAAATTAGATGCTAATTAATAATAACTGTTAGACTAATGTTTTAACTTTTTTGAAATCTAATTTCTAATTTGTATTAATTTTCTAATTTGTATTATATTTCAAGAATATTTATTTACTACTGCGAGTCTCCATAAAAATTTATCACAAACTGCCCTTTTTCTATGAATATTTTCGAATGCATATTTTTATGAAATTCACAGGCTGAAATATCATTTTTTTAAAAAAATGTAACAGTTCATGTGGATTTTCGGGACAATAAATATTTTTAATTATGACAGCTTCTTAAAAAATTATACTTTTATACTTTTTTAAAATTTTACATTGAGCAGAGTTTTTGAAATGGGTAAGAATTATTTTAATCGCATTTAAGAAAATTTCTCAATTAACCGCAAATGCCTAGCTTTAACTACTCAAGCCCATTAGTAGCTGGGTGGATAAGACCGCTAGACGTTGGAAGTTCGACCCGGATCTGAATCTCTGTGGATGGGTGTTTTCTTGGTTTTTTCCCATGTATTTGAGTCATCCATGAAAGCATCTTTCCTCTTAAGCAGATAGCCTTGTACGCTGTTACGTTAAAATAGGCATTTCTAAGCCTTTACGAACGTAGCAGGTAATATCATTTCCACAGCATTTAGTTCCGATTAATTTAAGCTGTAGTCCAACACACCCTTCAGTTCTGTGCTTTTCACGAAGCAAAACACGCTAAACAGAAATTAAGTGGGAAAATCAATTAGGGAATCCCCACCGTTTGCCACAGAGTTTATTGGTTACCAGGGAAGCCGGGCAGGAGAAAATGACCCTGAAATGCCTATTCTAAATAACAAACTATTAGCATACTTTGAGATAATATATTGTCTATTACTTTAGAATAGGCACTTCGAAGCCATATTCTTCCCCAAACCATGTCTCATAACCATAGTAACGTCTGTCGTGAAAAGAAGATCGAATCTTTTAATTTGTTTGAATCATCTGATTTTCCTTGCATAGGTGCCCAAGAACAGCCGAGCGAGAAAATTACTGAGCACTGGGTAGTTCCGATTGGAGTTCGATTGCAGACGAACAGGCTACCTGCATGAATGTTTTCACGTTTCTGCTATAGGTAATGTGCATACGAGCCAGTTTTCCTTAGAAAGTCTTCCACGAAGGCATCCCTCCTCTTAGGCAGATAGCCGCCGTGTGCTTTGCCATAATCAACCAAACCAAACTCTGTCTGCCCGGCGATGATTACACGCATTACGATCGTTAAATGAAGAGAGGGTCGCTACTGTCTTTAAGTGTCTATTTCAAGTAACAAAGTATAAAAAAGACAAATGAATTTAATAAACGATTCAATGAAATAAGTCGCGATCAGCATTTTTTAAACACTGCATAACATTTTAAAAGTGTTCAGTAATAGAATAAATGAAAGGTGATCTTAATGATTCTTTACTTATCGCAGTGGACTACGGACTGTGAGGACCTAATACAGTTTTTATCATTTAATTATATATTAAAAAATAGCTATAAATCTCAATCATTTGAAGCTTTATTTTGCATCAGAAAGACAAGCTTCGCTTGGAAATTCATTAAAATAAAGGCAAGGTTTCTAGTTTGTCGTTTCTCTTAATTTTGATTTTCTGATTATTCCATGAAAATATGTTATATAATTCTCAGTTAAAACAGAGGTTTCGTAACAGCAGGAAGAAAAGGATAATTTATGATTTTGGTGGAACCTCGCTTCAGTGGGTACATTTTTTTAGTTTATGTGTAACAATATTCACGTGATATCCGATATGCCGGAAAGTAGTAGGACTGGCAAAGCTTGACGTCTGAGCAAATTTTTTTCAACCTCTACGCAGTTACGGGAAATAAATTTTATTACTCGTTACTTTGGTTATGATAAAAAAAAACTATTTTCCCAAAACGTTTCGATACATTTTAATTATGGCAATAATTCTGTCATAGTAAAAAAAAGGCGAAAATTCGCGGGATAAGCACTGTAGATTTGCGAAACTTTTCGAGATTTGGGATTTACGCTATCAATTTCGTGAAAGGATTGTTGTTGATTTGTTGAGGATCAAAGTTTTGTCGAGGATTTGTTGTTGATGATTAGGATTTTTATATTAGCATTTCGTAGGGGCGTTGAAAGAATCAATTACACAAATAATTAGTATACGCAACTAACAAACACACACAAACTGAAATTTACATTTCTAAACCAATTATATTCTAAAAACATATTCAACACCATTGTTTTATATCATGATTGCTATTTAACTGGGCAGGTACAGGTAAAAATAAGAGGGACATCAGCATTGTACCATAGGTCAACTAGTAATGCCTTCCCACACTAACTCTTAAAAAAAAGGTGGAGGGAAAAAAAGAAAAAAGGGGAGGAATTACCAAGCTCTATAAGAATTTACATAGATTGAAACTTTCCAAACGGTCTAGAGCAGGGGTTCTCAACCGCTGGTACGCGTACCACTAGTGGTACGCTAGAGAAAAATAAGTAGTACAGAAAAGAAGCAAAGTATTTTAAAATATTAAATTCAAAAATTAAATCCCCATCATCTTGATTGAGGTTTTTTCCAACACTCGTAAATTTATGCGATCTGAGCCTTGTTCAAGAGTGGTGGTGTTAGTAGTACTTTGTAATGGCTGTAATAATAGTTTTCAATTTTTGTTTAGATTGTACACGTTAGTCGAAAGGTTGAGAACCGCTGGTCTAGAAATTGGCTATTATGGTACATCGTGGAATCCCACCGTATGCCCCGCATCCAGTATTTATTAAAAATAATGATGTAGGACATAAGGACAATATAGTCTGAATAGAATTTGAAATTCATAGATTAAATTGAAAATCTGTTTTGGTGGAAAAAAAAGGGAGATAACATACTGTTGTTTATCTTTAATTAGAAACCTTTGGAATGCTAGGGATCAGTTCGTGGAGATTTTATGTGAATATCTTCAGTTAAGGGACATGAGAAAGTGTAATGATCAGGAGTTCCCTGTTCCTCACATATGCAGCTATCGGAGTTCGTCATATTTCTTGCGCAGAAATATGTGAGGAAGGATCTGTGTCCTGTTATATAGTAATTTAATGAAGGATTCGAGTACAGAGATGAAAAACTTACATTGAGGATCAAGTTATATGTACGTCTTTCCTGTGGAACATTGTTCCACAATTCTTGCCAAGATTTTGAAGCAAGTTGTTTTAGTTGGATACTTGAAATTTGCGCGAGACCACGGAATGATGATTTCAGTACCATCTTGATTAATAGCTGCTTCTTTGGCTAATTCATCTGCCTGATCATTACCAAAATGGCCACTTTGTCCTTTTAACCATGAAATTTG